GAAAGAGTTTTTTTTTTTAGGTATTTGTACCATTTCAGTTAGCTGAGGGGAAACAATCCCACGGTTGAACTTCATTCGGGCTGATAGCAGCTGTTTCTGGGATACAGTGTATTCAATATAATTATTTTAGTTTGGATGTTTTTTCTTTGTTTTTTTATTTTCTCTAATTGGAGACAGAAAATTTTCTGACATGTTTTTGGTTGGACTTTTTCACATCACAGAAACCTGGCATTTCAACAGCGCTGTTTAAATTTTTTTGATAAGCTTCATCCATTACTGCTGGACGACGCTCGCACAGATCAGGCACTTTTTGGAACCACTCCCCCCTCCCCCCCTTTAATTTTTATACAGAGATATGGTACAAGAGTCCACAGAATTATATACATGTTTTCACCTGCAGGGGGAGCTCAGTGGAGACACGGGGAAGGTAGAGGTTCTTAATCCAGTTTAAGACGAGCTAATGTATGTGTGTGTGTTTTCTGATGTGCAGAGCTCAAGCACTTCAGGTGAGTCTAACCTCTCTCTAACGTCCTTCCTCCTCACTCTCCTCCATCACCACCACGTCACGTGAAAACCTCCTGGCGACACCTGGTGACCGCAGCTCCACATCCTCGGAGTGGGCGGGGCTGGAGTGGTAACCATGACGGGGGTTAACCTGTTGGGGGTAGTACTGAGGGGGGTAACGGCGATGGTAATAGGTGTCCTGCTCTTCCTGTTCCTCTTCCTCCTCCTCCTCCTCTCCCTCCTCCTCCTCCTCGTCTCGTACTCCTTGGTCGTTGTTGTACGCCACGGCAGCAGCAGGGTTGTACGGCTGGTTGTACGGCTGGTTGTACGGCTGGTAGCCACCGTGTGGCAGGGGTTGGACTGGGGCAGTGGGAATATTAGGAATGAGATGGAGAAGCAAAGGAAAAGGAAGCATTCCTATTGTATATTAAATATCCAACTGCGGTCAAGCTGATTTAATCTGGAATTTTTTTATAAAGAGAAAAAAATTATGAAAACTTAAACATTCTAATCAGATGTAAGTAGGAAAGAAATTTAAAGTTTGTTGGCAACATTTATTGTCTATTTTTCTTTAATTTCACTGAAATCCAGCCAACATTATTTGGCAAATGTTTACATTTTTAACTAAATTTTAAGGCGAGTAATTGCTAGCATCTGTTTGGCTAACCTTCGGCTATTCTCTGCTATTTGGCAGTTGATTGTTTATTTAATATTTAAAAATATACATTAAGCTATTTCTCTGCATATCCTAATCTCTTTTACTGTTACTGCAATTTTCCTTACTTCCGATCTCTACTTTGGTCTCTGATGTAAAATGCATGAGAAAAATTAAACACACGCTTTAAATAAAAGTGTTAGAATGCAGTACGCGGATCATTTTGGACACCACTGTCGTTAGCGATACAAACACAGAGTTATTTAAGAAGGCCGTCCAGAAGCACCAAAGTCATTTGTCAGAATCAAACTGGGATTATCTTTAAAAGTTTGAAGCAGCCAGAAGTGGAAGCTGCTGCTGCTATGCTAAAACAATGTGCGTGACCTGGCACTGGGCTCAGCAGTGTGTTCATCACAGCAGCCTTTGGTTTGGTCGTGCAGGAAAGCAAGACATAATACACAGCCAACAGTTCCATCACGTAGAGATCATTTCTGCTGATGGCAGGAATCCAGTTCCTATTCATCTCAGACAATGATTGGCTTTTATTTTTCAGAATAGAAATCTCTATAGTGTTTGTGACCTCACTGAGGGCTGAACGCTGCTCTAAGGCAGTTTTTCTCATGCTTTTTATATCAAGAAATATTGTTACACAAATGCAGACCACTCATTAAATTCACTATTTTTTTAACTTTTGCCTTGAGTTTTTGTATGTTGGAATAACAACAGCAGCCAATTCCAGAATGAATGAAACATTTGGTTAATTAACTGCTTATTCTTTAATTTTGCACTGCAAAACTAAACACGCATGACTGCTCTAAGCCTTAATTTCATTTTTCTTTTTTTTAATCAGTTTCCTGTTTTTCTGTTTGTTTTGGCTCTGAAAATTAAATCAAATGTAAATTATAAGATCAATCTGTGTGAAAAACAAAGCTGGGATTAGAGGTAAAAGGTCTGGACTAATTATTATTTAAAAAATATAAAGGCCTTGAGTGAAGCTTCTAACTTCATTTCTCTGTTTCTATCTATGCAGGACACGTGGGGAGCGATGGAGAGGAGTGCAGGGGGAGGAGAGGAGGAGGATAAGATGGAGGAGAGGAGGGCAGCTGGAGAATGCTCCTCAGTAATCATTCCCATAGTCCTGTTGAACTTGAGTTAGAAGGATGAAGAATGAGGAAGGAGAGGACAAAGAGAAGATGTTACCTCACGTCAAGAAGAAAAACCCTGTGACACCAAACAGTTAAGGATCTTAAACCACAAACACAGATTCTTCCGCAGCTGTTGGTTAATGGTTTTGGGAAGCTATAAATTTGTCTTGGAATCTGTTTCCCGATGAGATAAAAACATACACACAATGTGATTAATCCTCACGGTAAATCAACCCCCCAAAAATATCCAGACACCAGGAAAAGAATGTTCTAAATCTTTATTTCTCTTTCTGAACATCAGAAAGTACAAATGAAGATTTAAAACAGTAGAACACACACACACGTGTTTGCAGCCCATTAACCAGGAAATATACACATATACATGTACTATATGTAGTCATGCTGTGAGTAACTCGGCTAATTTTAACCAATACATTTTAAATTTGAATTAAACACAGACATTTCTGGTTAAAATTCAGAAATAATATACTTTTTTGGATCATTAACCTTTGGTCACGCTAACATGCTATAGTAATAGGTTCCCGAAAAAATCTTAAAACATAAAAGTTTCTCAAAAATGAATAAAAATGCACTAATTTGCCTTAAAATAAGGGGCAACGTCCATTTCTATGGTTGAAATTCAGAAAAAATATCCTTTGTTGGAATGTCAACCTTTGATTACACCTAACATGCTATACCAATAACTTGTAAAATGTCTCAAAAATGAATAAAATTCAAGCAAAAATGAAGAAACAATATGATGTTACCTGATGATATCACACCTGTTATACTGTGAAAGACGTACGGAATATGCTTTTAGTTTGAAGGTAACATTAAATACAAGTTTATGCACCAAAACAT